TGGGCGGCCTGAGCCTTCCAACTCCCGGCCGTCTCCCCTACTAACTTTGCTTGTTGGAAGCTGGCAGGAGTTGCAAGGAGGTCCTTGCTTAACAACCTGCGATCCTTACTTAATGATGGCAACGGTGAATGCTGAGATTGCCATTGGTAAGTGATATGGTCATGTGACGTTGCCCTTTACGACTGCATCACTTAGTGACGGAAATTCCAGTCCCAATTACCTTCATTAACCGAGGACTACCTATAGTACTTTTGACATGTTGGTAAATGGTAATCCTGCCAAGTTGATTGTTGGAAATAGGGGGGTAGGTTGCTGCCACATTGGTAAATATGGATTGAGGGAGCCATCAGGAATGGCCCCCTTGAATCAGTACAGCCAGATCTTACTCAACAGGTTGGATAGTATTTGGCTCAGTATGCCTCCATCTGTCTAAAGCTGGAGCATAGGAACTCTGTGTTAGCCAAATATAATATTATCTGTAATATCAGCCCATTATAATTCAGTTTATTTTAGGCTGTTTCTTCACTAGTGATTTATAGTATCATCCAACCAATGTACTGATATAGTAGTAAGGAGGACAGGATTTATACAGCCTTAGCAGTACCTAGGAGACTTTAGAAGATACTATAAATTACAAGTGAGGAAATGACCCTAATTGTATAAGGTAATATCCTATTTTTACTAAAAACAGTATTTTTAAAAATGCTTATGAAATTGCTGCAATTGCAAGTGTCTTCATAACTTGCAAGAGTCTCTGAATCTTTCCACTGCATTTCTGAGTCGAGAATTATCTTGGATCCCCAGCTAATTGGCACAGTGTGTTTTCTATAGTAATCTTGATCCAGCAGAAGGGTACCACTTTTTTAAATTAAAAAATGGTAGATTATATACTGTAGGTGCTTCAAGAAATGGCAGCTATGCTGGCTGGGGAATTCTTTGCCAAGTTTGAAAAACACTGATATAAATTAACTTAAATAATCGGCTTTCCTAATTTAAATAACATACTGACAGAGAAAAAGGAAGCTAACATAATCATGAAAATTAACATATGAAGTTTTT